GGTCTTCATTAGTCATATTCAGGTTCTCTTTTGTTTTGAACCTGCTGTTTGATTTGGTGCACTGAGGATCAACATCAAATTGTTGCAGAAATTTGAGTTGGATTTGTGCTCAGTCGATTCGGGGTCTTAAGTGGGAGGGTTTGTCAAACCTTGATCTACAAGTTAGAAGATTGATGTTTGGATTTCTTCATATGTTGAAGCTAGAGGGAATTGGCATGTTGACTTCTAAATCAAGGCAACAAGCACTTGCATTGGTTCAGTTGCATTCATCGTTGTCGTTTTTAATTTTGTTTCGAGTGTTTTTGTTCTTCACCAATATCAATGTTTTTTGTACCATCAATGTTCAAAGTGACCTTAGAGCTTGACTTATGTTGCCCAATCAATAGTGACCTGCCAGTACCATCCTGGTTTCTAGCAGAATAGGAGTGGTTATCTTTGTCTGCTGGAATGTTATTGGATCATCAAGCATTTCACCTTTGCCTTTGATGATTAAATAATCAGGTCCATGTAAAGACAATGTTTTCCCTAATTTACATAGCCTATTCTCTATATTTTGTAAAATTTCGGATATCTACGTAATTTATTAACAATAGAAAATGTGGGTTGTATGCCTTCAAACAAACATCGAAGTTTCGGGCGTTAGGGATAACCCGAAAATTTATTTGTTTATTTGTTTTTTTTTGAAGCAGCATATAATTTTTTTCCAATATTTTTTATTTTCTATGTGTGTGTGTACATGTGTGTAATTTTTTCTTTTTATGCATTTTTTTTATTCTCCCAATTTTTTTATATATTTTTTTAAAATTTTAATTTTGCAATTAGAAAAGATAGATGCGTCATTCTAGACTTTCCCCTCTAATCATACACACACAACGGGACATATATGGTTGTGGACAATTCCATGCTAATGCAATGAAAATTTGGTTTGAGAAGGCCTCATGGCAAGTTGCTCGTTGGTTGAGTCAGAAATCATGAAAATCTGTGCTATCGAGTGGTCACATCCATTAGCCAAGCATTATGATACATGTTTGCATATGCATGCACACACGCGGGCTTGCATGCTCTTTTTTTGTTGTCTTCTAGAAGAATGGGAAAGCATGCCAACTCATGGTTCCCAATTGGATTCATCGTTAAGGGGACTTGATTTATAGTCCACACCTTTTGTTTTGAACATCCACGGGTCTTATGTATGCCTTATTTAATTTCATTGTGCTCATTTTGCTCATATTTTTCTCTTTTATGCATCCTCTAGCTCATTTCTTGTTGTTTTATACATCAAATTCATTTTCTTTGTCCTTGTTCATGTGAACCTTTATCCCCATCTTGGCATTATATTGGGGAATGCTATTTTGATGTAGCTCAATGGTTCATTAACCTTGGATTTCAGCAGAAATTTTAGTAGAGATTGTGTCACCCATGTGAGGGTTTGCTAGATTCCTACTATGCTGTCAAAAAGTGTTATGGGGTGGTGCACAAGGCATCACAATCAAAAGCGAGCCTCCCACTACACCACTAAAAGCATGTACTAGTGGCATGTATAACAAATAGGTAGAAGCATTAATTGTTTTGACCACCACACTAAAGTTTTGTATGATTCTTGAGAGACCATCTCTATGAATGAAAATTATAAAATAAAAATAGATGGTTTGCTTATCATGCTTTTGGGTGGTACCACTTGCCGATAGGATTTTGTAGGGGATCAAAATGCACACTCACAACATTCACAACCACAAAGACCAAGGAAAGGCTTTAAGAGCAAGTGCCTTGCTTAATTTTTCGACAACATTATTTTCTTTTTTGTGCTTTGCACACTATGGAATTTTGTATATCTAAAAAATATTCTTATTCACTACGCCTTTTGCACACTATGGAATTTTGTATATCTAAAAAATACTCTTATTCACTACCCCTCATATCCTTTAATAAGACACTCCTAAAAGTTTTTAGTGGTGTTGTTGATATGATATTAATTGAAGGGATAATGGAAGTCAGTTGATTACATGCACATTTTTTTTAATTTTGACAAACCAAGATTTATGTGCGCTATCGTTGATGATATGGAATTAATTGAAGGGATAATAGAATTCAACTGACTTTATGTACCTTTTTTAATTTTTTCCAGCAAGGATTTATACGCATTTGCGTGATGATGTGTGCTGTATGAGGGGTTGACACATAAAAATGGTGATCTTGAATCTTAAATTTATGTTTTATTGATGCAAAAGTTTTCTTGTTCAGTGAACTCACAAACACGCATAACGTCGATTTGAATACGATTGCTTCCGCCATGCTAACCGAGGGAGCTTAGTTTATTATTGACAGTGCGACTGATGAAACTATACAAAAATCATATTTTCAGGACTGCATATTTGGTTAGGGTCTGTTTGGGGCAACTGCAGCTTATCCAACTTATGCTGATAAGTAGCTTATCCAACTTATGCTAATAAACTGCTTATCCTGATGACCATCTATCCGGATAAACTGACTAACTGTTTGGTTTGTGCGTTTAAATAACAGTTGATTTTGAAAAAATGACCAATCTGCCCCTGTTCTGGATAAGCTGCAATTGTTTGGTTTGTGCATTTTGTAAACAACTGATTTGCAAATTTTTTTAGTTAAATGAACAATCTGACACGTAAACTTCGTATTATTCTAAAAAAAACAACAATATTTAGCCTTTTGCTATTTCAGAATTAATTAACTCACTTCAGACACACTTGACTCATACAGGCCGCCAAAATTTTGATATTTACAAATTTATCATTCTTTTTAATGCAATCATAAGGGGAGATAAAAGTGAAGATTCAAGAACATCAAAATACAAAATATTCTTAAAATTTAATGTTTAAATGTTAAGAATAAGAAGTTTATGGATAAAATATTTCAATAGTCTATAAATCCAAAGAAAATTAGTGTGAATGTATCTTTACTACCAAACCAACCCAAGACACTAAACTGCTTCAAATTTAAAAATACAATGACAGAAAAAGGTTGTTTGTACATTTAACAATGAAAGATACTGCCACTTTAGAATGATTACAAAGAAAAAAAATTATATATCTAACATGACATAGTTGAAAGTTGTCGAAAATATTTCTTAAATAAATTATATACTTTGTTGACCGATTAAAAATAAGGTACGATACATCTTTAATATTGATTATACTTCATAAGCTAATGAGAAAGTTGAAATAAGTAAAGCATTCTGAAGAGCATGCCGACAGAGGAATTTGTAAATACCTTGATATTATTATGAGAGCCCTCAGCTACAGGCATATCACTTCTCCTTGCAATCTCCAGCTAAACAAGAGAAGGAAATACAAATCATGAAGGGAAAAACAATTCTGAATGAGCACCTTAAAGAGATGTCATTAACAATAACACATAAGGCATCAATCATATATAAATAAAATAAGCTTCGAAGCCCATACAGACAATGCATCAAGATCATTAGATAAACATAGCTTAAAAACAAGGAAAGCGAGGCAGACGAGGTCCAAAGACTAGTTTCCTAAACCTAAAATACTATCCACCAATGAAATTCAACAATGTACCAGGCGCGGAGCATTCCTTGTAGCCAAAGTATTATAAACGTTACCGTGGGTCGTTGCTAAGCCAATGACTTCTATTTCCGACGAACTTAGCATGATAAATCACCATCACATAATCTGAAGCAAAAAAGAAAAAAAGAAAAGAAAAGAGAAAATCGTTGAATGATAAATCACCATCACATAATCTGAAGCAAAAAAAAAAAGAAAAGAAAAGAGAAAATCGTTGGAAAAAATAGCTCACAGGAAATAAATGAACAGAATCTAGAAAATACATTTTCCAACCAATCCCAAGACCGGCGTGGAATATGATCTTTCTTCTCTTTTGAGATCTGCTTCGTTCCAGAGGCGAGAGGAATCGAGCCAGAGACAACAGAAGGACACCGAAGGAAAAAAACACCCGAACACTCCTTCAAGACGCGGGCCGTGGGGTTTCTACCGCGTTCGCGTCTATTAAAGAAATGAAACGACGTTTTTTATTAAGCTCCCGAAACACACGAAACAAATAGGGTGGCGGCTTTTTGAAAACGCCGCCCGCTGTTATAAGCTACCCCAAACGGGGCCCTAGCTAGCCCACACCTCGATGGTGGAGTTCAGTGTAATATTGCTAGTGTGAGTGATGAAGCATACAAAATTCACAATTCTCTTACTTTTTGAACAATGTGTGGTAATAGGATTTGCAAAACTCTGGATTATGGAAATTATGATTTCAAAACTTTTATTTTCTGAGAGGATTTGTTTTTTATATATAGCCCTTATTTTGTTATTGAGATTTTTTGGGTACTTTTATTTTAGGATTAGCTCATAAGAATTCATTATTAGTATTAAAAGCCAAACTTACCACGTTTAAATTTCATGAACTGGGGAACTTCGATAAATGTTATTTTGTTGGTTGAGGGAAGGTTAGTATTTTTTTTTCCCCTGGTTGAATTGAGCGCCATGTCCAGCTTCTCATTGTAGAAAAAAAATTTACAAAGATGTTCACATGTGTAAAAGAGAACAAAATCAATGGATTGCATATCAATTATATAAACAAAATTCTAAAAATTAAAATGGAGCTCAGAGCTGATCAAATGAAGTCTCATCAGGCTCCATCCAGAACTATCTGATTCCGGATGGAGATTGTGAGATAGTAAAGGTAGCATCATATCAATTGTAGGATCTAAATGATGTGCAATAGTTGATTGGGAACTCATTGTTAGGGGAGAGGGCAGCAACTCACTTAATCGATATTGGGATGCCAATATTAAAGCAAAAATTTTAAAAAAGAAAATAAAAGTTATTCATCAATAGTAGATTTAATCAAAGTTTCGTGACGTAACTTCATCCGTTTATGCTATTAATTTTAAAGATGAAGTGAATTTCATTTGAAATATTTTTTATATATTTATTCTTTTTTTTATCATATTCCATACTAATGCTGCCTTTTTTATGTTGTCGGGAATGAATCAGGAATTAGAGCTGGAGAAGGCTCAAACTATTGATGTCATGCGGTATCTCTTGAGCCATGTCTATGGCCTTTTGTCTTCATCAGATGACACTAATTTGACATTTGACAAACTTGTTGAAAGTTCCGTGCGAAAATTATTGTGTGAATTGTTTAATTTGAGTGGAACTGTGTGGAAACCAAAATCAGTAGACGCCACCTTGGCAGAACTTCCCTCAAGCAATGAACAGTTGTCTGTCCATCTTGGGCAATATGCTGAAAGGAGTAGTGGTGACTTGATTTACCCAAAGTAAGTAGTTTACTTTCTTAGTCAAGTGGCTTATTTCTGAAATTTGACTGTTATGAAGATTCTATCGCCTAATTTGCATCTCTAGTCTTTTAAAAGAAGTATTTTTAGTGCTTGTTTTTCATTAGAGCATAGTGCCTTTTTAATGTTTCCTACATATTTTCTTCAAATAAAATAAATTTATTATGTAACTTTTTCATGCTTTGATCCTTTGTAGTGAGATACGTGAGTAGACCATCTTGCTACTCTTCTCTTTCAGAAATCATATCAAGGATAAAAAATAAAAAATGTTCATTCTAACTTGTGAGTTAATCGTATGAAAGATCTCTTTCATCTGATATTAAGGTTTATTGGTGATCCTAATTGATATATGGATAGATAGATAGATAGATAGATAGATGGGTATAGAGATACATACATACATACATATATATTATCTTGGATATTTTATAGGGAAAAATGTACTTAAAGCTTATGATTCTGTGCCTATTAAATTCATATATAGTAAGTTCATTTCATCATATTTTTTCCTTGTGGTTTGAAGTTTCATGCATTTTTATTCGAATCTGCTGTATTGATTGTCCACAATTTAGCAAATATTCTTCTTATTTTTACTTGATAGACATCCAATGGGCCTTATAATTGAATATAAAGCTAGTTTTTTTTATCATTTGACTAACTGATTTCAATACCGATATAATTTTGTGCAAGTGGTTTATAGTTTTTAATATCTTTCTGAACTTGATATTCCCAAATCATAAAAAATCGTAATAAATTTATGAGCTTACTAAGCACAATCTGTCTTTTGTCATATCTAATGTCGTTAAACATGGAAAGAAAATCTCATGTTTAAGATGTTGTTAGTCTATAGATAACTTGCTAGCCTATAGAGAACTTGCCAACCTATGCATCTACTAGTGCTTTAGTATAGAATTTCTTCAGCAAATTCTGGGTGGAAGAGACATTGAATTTTCTGAATGTAGTTTTGAACTTGCTGAAGTTGAGAATCATTATCATTATCTTTAGTATCTCAGCTATCTGCAGCCGACCTTACGAATACTTTTCTTACTCATTCTTATTGAGTGCTTCATAGTAATGACTGTTCTATTTTTGGTAAATATTTTTTGCTTAACTTTTATGATACGGTCTATCTATTTTTTGCTTAGCTTTTATAATGTGGTCTAACCGTTTATTGTAATTTTATCCACGTCTTGTTGGTGCATATTTTTTATAGAAAAATAACAGAGAAGTAAAGCAGAGTAATTGTATTTTATGTGTATTTGCTTACAAATTTTAATACAGATAAATCAATACATGTACTATGGAGGTATTTATATATGCGAAGGGAATATTTGACTTTTACATAGAATCAATTCTGGTACGAGGAAGTTTGGAGATTTCGTGGGCTGTTTTGATGAGTCTGTGAGGATGAGGAAAGAGAGGTCTTAGATATTTGGTGTGCTGCATACACCAGCACACAAATTGATGACTGTAATTAGTCATCAACTTGTCAGAAAGTAGAGTGAAACGTGGTAGAATGAACTGTGTCGTAGGAGGAGGCTTGGTTAGGAGACCAGCTAGTTGTTTTTAAGAGGCAAGATTGTGAACCTTGATACGTCTAGATTTGATGCAATCCTTGATAAAATGACAATCAATTTTGATGGTTGGCACAATCGTGGAAGATTGGATTGCTAGCGAGTTCTATAGTGAAAACATTGTTAGATTAGAGTGGAATAGGTTTAGAAAATGTGATGTCAAAATTAAGCAAGTGGCTGAGGCAACCATATTAGATCAGTAGTTGCAATTGCCAAGGTTTCTTCCTTCTGCTTCGGTGGAGGATTTGGCGATAGTAGGTTGTTTCTCAACACACCACGATATTAGCATTTGTCCTAGAAATGCACAACAGTCAGTTACTGATTTACAATAGGTAGAATGCCAACCTAGTTGGAGTTAGGGTATGCGTTTTTTTGTGGTTGGAAAGCCCTTATGTGATTTGCCTTTTATATACCGAAGGAGTTTCTTGAGGTGTTGAAAATAAAGATTTTTGGACTGTATTAATAGAGGTGATTTACAACAAGGAGATGTCGTCGAGTAATAGTAAGGTATTGAGGAGACCAAACTTGTTGGAGAAGGGAGGAATTTGGAGAGGAGAGGTTGCAACTCAGTTCGATGGGTATTTGGTGGGATTGGGGTTAACTAGTTGTTTATATCATCCCATTCTAGCTTTCTGTAGGAGAGTTTGGGCATAAAGTTATTGGAAGAGATGTAGACCGTTGTGATGGGAGTGATTTGGATACCAAGAAATTTTGACATATTGCCCAGGTTAAGAATCTTGAATTATTTTGAAGCTGAAGTAGAACTTAAGGGATTGCTTGGTAGTTGTTATCAGCTATGAGGATGTTGTTGATATGTATAATCTTTTACATAACTATGTTATTACGGTTGAAGATACGTAGGATGGATCTGCCATACTGAATATAAAGCCCGAGGGATGTAGAAATTTGGATAGTGCTGAAAACTATTGTCGGACCATGGATATTCATTTTTAGTAAGCAATCATGTTGAGGATGGTTCAGATGAATAAACTCTTGAGATTGAGCCATATATAGATGTTCATGAAGGCTGCCATGAAAAAAGGCGTTGGACTCATCCAGTTGAATAAGTGACCATTTGCAATGTAAAGTAACAGTGAGGAAGATGCGGAACGTAATAAATTTAATAACATGATTGGAAGTGTCATTGTAGTTGACAATACACTCTTATTTGAAGCATTGAACAATACATCGTGCTTTTGCTTTGTAGAGTAGATGATATGGAGTCAAGTTGTGGTGGGAGTATTTTAGAGGGGAGTTTTAGAAGAGATGATATGAAGTTAAGTTATTGATAATGGTGGAAGGAAGATGATTGATGAGATATACTGCGATAAGGAGAGTGCCATCTCATAAGAAATTGGGAAGATGAGCATTGAGTAAGAGTATGCAAACAGTTTAAATGATCTGTCGATTTTTGTGTTCAACAACACCATTTTGTTGAAGGGTATAGGGCAAAGTGTGTTGAAGTAGAATACCAGAATGAGCTAGAGTTTTTTTTTTGGAGAGCGGAGTTACAATATTCGACACCACCGTTAGTGCATAAAATTTTAATATGTCTATAGAATTGATATTTAGCTAGTTGTTCAAGTTGCAAACAGAGTGCCTTAGTTTATATTTTTTTTTTATAGGAAACAACCAATAAATTTTGGAGAAATCATCAATAAAAATATAGTGTAACATTGAAGATATATTGTTGGGGATGTAGCCCAGACATCATCATGAATAATCTCGAAAGGCTCGAGAGGAGCCATGCTACAAACGTAAGGGAGAAAGTTGAGAACGATGGCCCTTGGTCTTACCACAAACGTTGCATATAGATAAGTTAGGAATTATTTTGGATAGAGTTGATGGTTGTAACTGAATGAACTTTTGTGCTGGAGCTGCGATGCAGTGATAGTTTTTTTTTTCTTCTATTTTTTCTATTTTTTCTATTTTTTCCCATATGCAAGGCCTTGAATCCACGATCTTTTGGTTGAAGAACAAATCTCTCAACCACTAGGTCAAGGTGGCTACATGACAATGCAATGAGTTGAGAGAAAAGCTGACTGGTTGTTAAGGGCTAAGAACTGGTGAGGAAGCCACATGGGATACAACTCGTTGCAGCTTGTACCACTAAGCAAAGGTTGTTTGGTTTTTGAATCGGTGATGTGTATCCGCAGGCATCAAAGGATATGGAGTGATTGTTCTCATAGGTTAATTTGTAAACAAATAATAAATTATAAACAAACTTCGGAACTTGAGATAAATGAGAGAGATGCGCTTACGATTACTTGAGATAAATGAGATAGATGCGCTTACGATTAGGAGTTGGAAAGATTCTTGGGTTGGTGGAGGAGATAGGTAGTGTGTTTTTTGTCACATATGGCAACATATGGTAACTTGTTGATTGCCACATGGAGTTGTGGTTAATGAAGTTGATTGGCATATATTGTGAGGTGCGTTGAAGCCCTCGAATCAGGGCATCATTTAGTGGTGTGGTGGAGGAAGCTATAAGAAGGCATGTTGTGGTCGATAATCAGGATTTAGTCTTTGCCAACAACTAGCTACGGTGTGACTAGTTATGAAGATTTGTCATTCTTTTGAGATGAGGGTAGATTTCATATTGGATATAGAGGAGTTCTATTGTCCACATGTAGAAGTGTGTGAGCCACTCGGGGGTTTACCTATCTATCACTAACTAAACGATGTTGGTTGATAAGCTTTATTTAAAATTGCACAAGATGAGACGCTTCTTAAGGCCCGCCTCAACATTTTTTATAAAAATCACAATTAGACTTTTGCCTCCCAGGGTGAGATATACGCCTACCCAGGCTGAGGCGCTCATCGCCTCAAAGAGCGCCTTAAACTAGTATCAATATACCTCACCTATCAATTTTCACTCCTCACACAATAAGCTATAAGGAATAAAAAAATATATTAATAAAATTTATGTAGTTGAAGTTTTAACTATCAATATAGTTGTTATTTTAATTAATATTTTTATTGATGGTTATTCATTAGAAAAAAAGAACATAATTAAGGTTAAAGACAAGAAAGAATGAGAGAATATGGATACATTTTGAATATGGCGCGGGATAAGCAATTATTTATATTGATGATTCTAATGAAATTTCATTAGTTGATTAGAGTAAATGGACTTTAAATTTAAAAATTCAAATGTTTATGGTTTATTATATTCATGCTTAAATGGGCCATGGTATGAGTGTAAGAGAACGACTTGTGCTAAACTTTTGTTGATCGTTATATTTTGATGTTTTAGTATTTTATTTTGACATCTTAACTTAATTTGATAGTTTAATTTTATGTAATACATCTTATTCATGATTTGATATTATGATATTAACATCTTATTTGTTATTTTTTGCAATTTATTACATTTTACTTGTTTAGAATGTTGTTAAATTACTTTTTAATGTAATAATATGCTAGAATATTAATATATTTTTTCTTACTTCTCAATTTATAATTTACACCACATTTACTAATTTATATATTTTTTAAAATTTGAGGCATACTTCTTGTCTTAGTACCCAATTGCGTATTTTAAACCTTCTGGTGAGGGCTGTTTGATGATTCGGTGCAGTGTGATCTTGAACTGCTTTAGTTGCAAGTTTTGTTTCCTTATTACAGAGTAGAGAAGTCATCAAATCTTATGGGCTGTAGGACTGCGAATTGCAATCTTAAAGCCTTGAGAGGATGGAAGCGGTCATTCAATGTATAGAGGATGTATTTTTAGGGTCTAGAGAGGAGCTGGCTGGGGTTATCACATCAACTTTTGCTTTGGATGTTCGAAAGGCACTCTATCATGGTTCTATGATGCATTGTGATTGTATGAAGTTGGTTTTTGAGTTGAATAATTCAATATCTGTTTGTGAATTGTACACACTTGTCAATGGTTGTCCTGATTTCATAGCAGGTATCGATATTTAAGTATGTGGTTGTCCTGATTTCATAGCAGGTATCGATATTTAATTATATAAGATAGGATAGAAGGGGAGATAAGGGAGTAAAGCGCTGATGCAAGGTTCTGATCAATAGTAGCCAAAGATGGGATTAGGGATTGTCAACACTTTATTCATGTATGATTTGACTGGGGCAGGGAGCCGTGTCATCTTTGAACCCTTCATATCCATTGATTTTGAATAGTTTCAGCACTTTATGATTGCCGGGTAGGGTGATTTTTTTGTAGCGAGTTGAATGTAAAGAATTTCCTTCACGTTAGACATCATGAATTTGAGTTGCTGTGGAATTTGTGTCATGAACTGTAGTTGATGTGTGCTCCTATATTTTTGTTGTAAATATAGCTCGTTGAGACATAATGGAAAATGGCGTTGAGTGCTGTGAGGAAATTGGGGTGTTGTTAGGCTTGGGGAGGCTATGATAACATGATAGAAAAACATATCAGAAAAGCAAAGCTGATAGGTAATTATTTTGTGTGACTATTTGCTTACAACATTTTTATAAAGAAAAATCAGTACAGCTGCTATGGAGGTACTTCTAAGCGCTGCGGGAACATTTGGTTGTTTCTTAGAATGAATGCTGGGATGAGGAGGTGGTTGAAATTTCTTTGGTTGTTTTGATGAGATGGTGAGGACGAGGAGAGAGATCTGAGACTTTGGTGTGCTGTCAACAACATTCTTCTCCAAAAAAATTGCATAAACCAGCAAAATCTATTTTCCTTCCCATATTTTTGATAGGTGTTATTACCACTATCTTTGTTATGCTCATTTTTAACATTGCCCTGTTACTCATAAATATGAAAATTCTCTTCTAGACCTTAAGTAGGCTATCAGTACTTTTTAATAATCTCGCACTCAATTCTAGAGCCTTTTCTTTTATCATATGTTACTTTTTAGCTCACATTTTAACCACCCAATACCCTTGTATGAATGTACATTTTTCTATTGCAAGAAACACAAAGTTATGATGCTAGTTTCACTTGATTATCTAGCAAATTGATAATTATCAATTTCATACCCAGTAAAATAATGTTGATATATATATTTTTTCTTTTTTAATGATCCTAAGGCCCCTGTCTTTTAAAAGCATTTTCTATCTCTCTAACTTCATGTTTAGTTTATTACAACTCTCACATTTTAGAATTATGTTATTTGCAAATAGTATTAGACCAATACACTTCTCTTTGAATATACATCACGTGCATCTCCAGTTCTAAACTTATTCTCGTTTCACTTTTTTTTTTATGTTCACTAAGTTAAATTTTTTGTAGTAAGATTATTTTCCATTTCAAGATCATAAAAACTATATGGCCATTTTTATTTCTTCTTTGGTTTCTCTCTTAACAAAAAACGGCCTTTATAGTGTTTCATCTTAGCCATAAATAGAGTTAATTCTATGATAATAACTTGATTTTCTAAGCCCGGAAGTTGGAAGTTTGATTTTTTTATTATTATATGATATTGTTCTCTCATTTTTTTTAAATATTATTACTTGAATACCTCTTAAATCATTTGGCTTGTCTTGGTTTTTAGCATTATATTAAAAATATTTCTCAATCAAAGCGTTTTAATCGCTCATCTAACTCTCCAAGATCATTGGTTTTTTCTTTATACATCTTTTTCAGAGCATTTTTTTTTTACTTTTTTTGGGATCTGTAGTGTACTATATGATTTATTTATTTCCATCTAAAAAATCTTTTTATTATAATTATCATATGATGATTATTGAAAATAGCATTTTTCTTATTCACTTATTTCTTTATATTTAACTAGGTTGCTATCATCTTGAAATTTAATCTTATTTGAGCAGGTTCTCTAGAGATATCCCTTGCCGTAGCAATTTTGTATATATGATTTTCTTTTTTATCTTATTTTATTTTTTTAAATCGTTATAAATTATTGCGTTTATTAAGAAGTTGTGTTGTAAATTGCTAGTAACATTTTTAAGCTTAATTGTAAGTAATCTTGATGGATTCAAGTTCATGTTACCTTTCTTTGAACATTTGTTGCAGAGTAAATGCGGGATAAATTGTTCATATTTATTTAAATAATTTTATCTCTATGTTGCAAACCCCTTTAAGTGAACCAAATAATCTCTTAGTACAAAAGTGTCCTCTTCTGTAGATTTCAAGCACTTAACCTAATTGTTTTGTTTCGTCGATGCCCACAAGCTCTTTTTCAAATATAGTATAATTGCGCTTTGCTGTTCTTTGATTATATGCCTACTATTTTTTTTTCCATTTTTACCACGGCTATTGAATTTGTTTCAAGTGATGGTGATGTTATTAGTTGAATTCAAGTTGGTTGATTGGAGTGGAGGAATGCTTTGGGCCTATTGTGTGATAGAAAAGTACCGCTTAGCTGAAAGGAGAGATTTATAAGATGGTGGTGAGACTTGCAATGCTCTATGGCGCAAAATGTTGGCCTTTAAAAGAGAAGCATAAAATTAAGTGTTGCTGAGATGAGAATACTTAAGTGGATGAGTGGCTTTACACTTGAAGATAAAATGCGAAATCAATATATTTGTGATAGGGTTGGTCTAGCTCTAGTGGTAGATAAAATTAGAGAAAGTTGTCTCAGGTGGTTTGGTCATATTAAACGTCAACCATTTGATGATTCGGTTAGGAGAGTAGATATTTTAGATTCGACTTATATTAAGAAATGCGCAGGTTGATCTAGAAAGCCTTGGGCACATTGTATAAAAACTGATTTTAATTTATTAGAATTAAATGAAAATAGGACATACTGAGAAAAAGGATTCATGTAGCCCACCTCACTTAGTGGGATAAAGGCTTGTTGTTGTATTACCACGACAATGCTTTACATCACCTTTTTGCTTAAACAATGATACCAAATCACCTTTTTTTTTCCCTTCAATCATTTAGTATCCCCAGTCTTTAGAATTTCATGATGAAATTTGTTTTTAAAAATGTCCCCATGTCTCCATTTTAGTCTGCAAATACAAGTGTGAATCTCAATTATTCTAGTGTTTTTCATTTGCATTTTCTGAAATATAATCCTTTTTTATCATTCAACGATGCAATTTACTTTGCAAATCTTTTCATTTTGTTTAAGCTAAGTAAGTATTGTTTTGGCTCATTGTCTTTATATTTAAGATCTAACTAATAAATCATTATCTTCACCTTAATAATTCTTTTGTCTTGAATTTTTATACGATTATGGAGTCACTTAACCACAGTTTGCATAGGATTCCAGTTCGATCGTCTGCTGCATCAGAAAATCAGCCAAACGTTTTGGACAACACTACTGACAAAGAATACCGAAACAGCATCTTCAACCAGAAACAAGGCCCTGAGGAGACCCCATCATCGGAAATTGGAGGTAGGAGTCCGTCAACTAGCGGTTTTATCTCTTATTCTGGTCAGCCTTCCGCCAGCACTTTGGACGAAAAATTAGAATCTCAAAATAGAGTTCAAATGAGCAGCACATCTAATGCACAGCTACCAACTGAGACCAATGCTGCTTATGGCTTTACAAATCCAGGTCAACCATTTAGCCACTCGGGAAATAACTATAATTCTTATTATGGCGGATACACAGGGAAGTCAACCCAGCCATCTTTTAACTCATGGACAAACAGCTGTCCTACCTATGGTGGATCAATTGCAACTTCATCTACGCCGCCCAGTAGCTCATTGAATGAGCACCCTGCTACCTCATACAATGGATACAATGCAAACGCATACCACAACAGCAGTGCATTTCATGGCAGACCAACTACAAATTCATCTCAGGTTCCCACGAACTCATGGAACAACAACCACAACACTTCTTTTACCGGATCCAATGTTGGTTCAGCCCAACCATCAAACACCTTATGGAGTAACAGCAATCCATCACATGGCGGGTCATCTCTGAATTCATCTCAGCCACCACCCAGCGAGTCATGGAGCAATTACAACACTGCAAATCCAGCTCTACCATCCAGTAACTCTTGGTGTAACGGCATTACATCTTATGGCAAATCCACTCCAAACTCATCTCCACCACCGATTGGTTATCATGGTAACTACAGTACACAGTACGAGGGATACAGCAGTACATCTCAAACTGGATTCACTTCCAACTCATGGAACACGAACAATGCTTCACCTGGTGGATTCCATGAGGAATTAAAGCAGCCTTCTAATATCTCTTACAGTTCATCCACAGCGTATTCATCACCCCAGCCACCCAACAACTCATGGAACAATTACAATACCCCATATGGCGAGAATGTTACGAAATCAACCCAACCATCCGGCAACTATTGGAGTAACAACAATACATCCTTTGGTAGCCACAACTTAAATTCATCTCATCCCCCCAGTAACTCATGGAATAACCACAATACTAACCCGCCCGCAAATTCTACGGAGCCATCCATGAGCTCAAGGAACAGCAATAATTCTTATGCTGGAGTCAGTGCAGATTCATATCATAGATATCCTGCAAATTCAAACCAGCAGTCGAGTCATTCGTGGAATAACAGCAGCAGTTCTTATCCCGGAGCCTCTGCAAATCCAACTCAGTCTACATGTAGTACGTGGAACAACAGCAGAGAAAGTTATAGTGGGTTTCCTCAGACAAGCAATGGATTGCCTTCTAGTGTGAATGCGAATTATGGTTATTCAGGGAGGAGCTTGGAAGGATCTTGTGTGAAAGAAGGGCCTGACCCGTTGGACATGTCTGAAGAAGCAAAGGCTGAGAGATGGTTTCGCCGGGCTGCTCAAATCAAGGATATTTCAGAGCTTAGCCAGATACCTGATGAAGATTTCCCTCAAATTATGCCAATGAGGAAGGGAGTTAACAGGTTTGTTGTCAGTAAGAGGAAGACTCCTCTTGAGAGGAGATTGGCATCACAACAGTACAAGAGAAGCTTGCCTGTTGTTAGTTCTGAGCCTGAGAAAGAACCAACAGCTAGAGAGACAGAAATTAATCTTCATCCAGATTGATGGCTGTGAGTTGGTTAGATTTTTTCCATTATATTTATGTTAGCAAAGCAGAGTTTCTCTAATTTAGTGGAACACTTGTATCAAAATAATTGGTGACTGGCAACTTCTTCTATATGCTTTGAGTAAAGAAAATTTTTATGATAAAAATGAGATATGGCAACTTCGTTTATGTAAAGCATAAAATGGACAATGTAATTAGTTTGTAATGCTGTTTTTTTTTGTCAACTATCAAGTAAAAATCAATTTGAACTACTGCGGTATATTATTTTATATGTTATGCTAATTAACTTAGGAAGATGTGGATCTAGGATGACAATTATCAAATTGTAACTCGGTAACAATAGGTTTCATTTCATTCAATATGCATAAACTTGATGGGGCTCCATGAAAGCATATTAAACTTTACTCTTTTTAAAAAAAAAATGAAATACCTGTTTTTTATTTGTGTTACTACATTTCTAGGGGGCATAAATAGCTTGCTCGAAGTAGTATTTAAATCAATTGGGATTTAGAAAATCATGCAAATTTGGATTTTGCTAATTTTTAGGTTGTTTAATCTTGAAAATTGTTTGGTTTGACATCTTTTAAAACAAATTTGGATATTGAGTGCTATTGGTTCTCAAATAAGTCTGATTATTGCTTATCTGTTGCTCCGTGAGTCGCACTAAACCATATTCCCCTCCTCTCCAGAAGCACCCGACAATATTTGAAGGATGATACTCATGAATGTCTGCGATGTTGAGTGTAGAATATATATTCAACTCAGAGGAAGAGCGATAACACAAGCATCGTCAAGTTGTTTAATTTTCTTAAGAATAGGAAATGGACCAAGTTGGCTAATTTTCTTAAGAATAGGAAATGGACCAAGTTTGCTAATTTTCTTAAGAATAGGAAATGGACCAAGTTTGCGAGGCTTTAGCTTTGAATAAGTTCCTACAGGAAATCTTTCCTTTCGTAAGTGAATCATGACTAGATCGCCTTCTCTGAAAATTATGTGATGTCTCTTCTTGTCTATGTATACCTTATACTCCAGAGTGTGGTTGATTAAATTTGTTTCAACCTCTTGCAATACAGATGTAAAATCAACTAGTAGTGAATTGGCAGCATTATTTCGGGTTTTGAGAGGACAACCAACCAACAATATGATGTATACCTGATACTAAATGGTGAGCGTCTCATAGACCGATTGGTCATTGAATTGTAAGCAAACTCCGCCTGACTTAATGATTCATCCCATTGTTTGGGATGTTCTCCAGCTAAGCACTGTAACATACTGTTGACTGTCTGATTAACTACTTTAGTTTGTCGGTCTTTTTGGGGATGGCAAGCCTAGCTCATCCGTAAATCGACATTTAGCCTCTTCCACAATTCTCTCCAAAAACAACTCATAAATTTGACATCCCTGTTATGAGTTATGCTTCTCGACAATCAATGATGAATTAAATCTTTGAAAAATATTCATTCAATATTCTAGGCATCAATGACAGTTTTCAAGCCACAAAGTGAAACAATTTTTTTTTCGAGGTAAACTCAAGATGAAATCCTTACTTACATAGTCCCATATGGTTTCAGAAATTGGAAGAGGAAGGTATATACCAGTTTTTTTGTGTTTTTTTTCCTTGTAGGATTGACACGCAGCACAATGCTTGTTGAATGACAAACATCCCTATGAAGTTATGCTCAGAAGAAACGAGTAGATATCTGACCCAAGGTTTTATCTCTCCCGGTATGTGCTGCTAACCTACTTGAATGCATATCCTTAATGAGTTGAGTACAAAGAGATGTATTTGGAATACATAATTGATTTCCTTTGAATAAATACCCTTGGTTAAGATAATAGTCATTAAATGGAACCTTATCCATGCAACTTTACCATGGCTTAGTGAAATCCTTATCTCAGTCATATTTTTCGTTAAGAGATGTCATTCCGGGTATACCGCTCTGAACAACAACCGACAAATTAGCTCTTCGGCAGAGGGCACCAACAACTTTATCGCTCTTTCCTGCTTTGACTAAGAACATAATTGAACTTTTGTAAATAAACAATCCATCACATATGCATTCCACTCAAGGATTTCTGATTTTGTAAAAATTGCAAAGCTTTATGGTCTCTGAATAAAATGAATTCTTGATGAACTAAGTAATGCTCTCATTGTTTGAAAGCTCTCACTATCACGTATAACTCTTGTTCATAAGTGGTCCGTTTTTCCCTTGTGTCACACAATTTTTCTCTAAAAAATTCAATCGGTTTCCTTTTCTGTGATAGAACTCCAGCGATACCAATTGCAGAGGCGACTTCCACTTGAAATGATTTGTCGAAGTCCGGCAAGGCCAAGATTGGTACCTTGCACAATGCTTCCTTGAGGTTAAAAAAAACTATGCTTCTTTTCACAATTCCAAATAAAGGATTTGCTCTTCAAGGCATCAGTAATAAGGACTGCCAACATGCTATGATTTTGAATAAACTTTTTTTAGAATCTCGCTAACCTGTGAAAACTTCTAGTTTCAATAATGGAAGTTGGGACATGCTAATTCTGGACGGCATTAATTTTTTTTGGATCAGTTTGAATACCATTATCATCAACAATAAAGTCAAGAAAAGGAACTCTCGTAACCACAAATTCACATTTCTCCAAGTTGAAGTAGAGCTTATATTCTTGTAATTTCTCAAATAATAGAGTAGGGTGTTGGACTTGTAGCTTGAAAGAAGTACTATGCATAAATATATCATCAAAGAAACCACATAAAATTTCTCAAGAAAAGGTTCAAGTAACTCGTTCATTAAGTGCATGAATTTTGTTTGGGCGTTACACAACCTAAAGAGTATAACCTTCCCTTCATAGAGGCCATCACGAATTTTGAATTATGTCTTCAATTCGTCCCTAACTTGATGGAAAATCTGATGATATCCACTTATCATATCCATTTTGTAGAATATTTGAAACCCACTTAATTGATCCATAAAATCTTCTAATCGAGGCATAGGAAATCAGAATTCGATAGTTATCTTGTTAATAACTTGACTATCAATGCATAATTTCCATTTTCCATATTTCTTTGGTTGCACTAATGCTGGAATGACACTAGGGCTTAAGCTTTTTTGAATGAACTGCTCGCTTAAAGAATCTTCTACCATGTCTTATAGAATTTGATGTTCCTTTGGGCTTAAGTTATAATGAGATAAGTTTGGTAACACCAAACCAGAAATAAGATCAATATGACGTTGGATAGCACTCATTGGGGGTAACTCACTCGGAATTCAACATGTATTATATCTTTAAATTGTTGGGTTAGCTGTTGAATAACATTTGGGATTGCTTTTGTGCCTTTATTTTGTTCAGCTAGAAACACTGCATAAAAACTTTCAGATATATTTTTTTTAATTCATGAAGCAATTTAGAACCTAAAATTCCAAGCAAAGTAGTGGTGGCTTATTCTTTACCCTTGGAGGAGGTAAAACCTCAATTTTCACCCTTTGCACTCAAGATTATACGCATTGACTCTACCACCATACCACACTCCTTCAACAAATTGCCAAGGTCTACCCATTATTATATGACAAACATCCATATCAATCACATCACACAATACTTCACAATTATAGTGCTTTCTAATCGAAAATGAAACTTTACACATTTCAGCAACAGGCACTTCAATTCTCTTTTTAATCCAATTAATCTTATAGGGTTGAAGATGTTTAGTTGTTAGTAATTGCAGGGATTTGAATACCTTTGAAGAAATAATATTCCATGCTCATCCATTGTTAATCAGTAGTTCAAAAACTTTACATTTGGTTTTGCATCGAGCTTTCAGTATTGCATGTCTTTGAGTTCCCTCATTGATGTGGTAGCTAGCTATACCTTCTCCAACACACAAGTAAGGAATTCTCCTTCGTCGGTGTGGACCTCTTTAATTTTTTCGAGCTCTGTAGGGATTTCTAAATGGACTTCAGTGCTATATTTTGCATCCATCAATTGCAGTTGATGTCTGTTTGGACACTCTTTAGACTTATGTCATGGTTGAAGGCACGTGAAGCACTTTCCCAATCCAAGTTTAATGTATATGTTATATTTTCTACTACCAGGTTTTGGGGTATTTCTGTAATCTTAACCTCTATGTGATTGGGTAGTAGTTTGGACTTGAAGGGAGCTTGGGTTAGCTCCTAGGATTCCACAATTCATTTCAGGATTGGTTTCTACTATACTTCTCTTGGGATTGGTTTGTACTATACTTCTCTTGGATTTAATGTATTTGGGCACCCGAGACTGTTGCATCTTCGCCCTATAAGCATAATTCATTGCTTGAGATAATGTCCAAATGGATTTAATGTATTTGGGCACCCGAGACTGTTGCATATAAGCATAATTCATTGCTTGAGATAATGACCAAACGGTATTTATTCCATTTTTTCTTTTATTGGTTATTTCGACCCCTAAACATACCGAGCCACTAATTGTTGGGCATTCTCCTCCAAGTTATTTCTAGTTTTCAATTGGCATAACACTCACAGATAGATCCTTTTGCATACATCTCTAATATTGTAAATACAACATTTATTCATAATCAATAGGAAGTGACTTCTCATCAATTTCTACATCAAAGGTTATAAGGCTGCTATTGAATTGGAATAAGTCTGATTTGCTAATCTGTTGTTCCCTGAGCCACCACTACACCAATAACTCATCTATAAATTTCTCATCTATAAATTTGAGTATTCATCACTTAATACTCTCTATTTCTGAGTTCTCATCTTTCTTCTAACTCTTTCTCTCAGGTGCGTTAATCCAAATATAAATCGGGATCCAATAATTAAAAATATATCATGCTATCTAGTTTGTCTTCTATTAAAACCAAGAGTATGATGATTATAAACCATGTTATTATAAGGAAATGATTGGTAGCTGATTAATGATTGGGATTTTGAAAAAAGAAAAAACCTTGACGTGAAAAAAGATCAATTTTATTCACTACGACTCCTCTCTCTCTCTCTCTCTCTCTCTCTCTCTGAATATATATTGAAGGCCTTTGGATCCTTTGCTGTGATGGTTTTTATGTTTTTAATTTATTTTCTTTGTTTTTAACGAAAAGGATGATAGTGACAAGACTTGATGACTGTCCCTATAAAGAAAGGCTGATGTTTCTTCTAGTATGTCATGTTTATTGCTTAATGATTTAAAAAAGTGGATGGCTGATATGTAGCCCAGATGTTGTTCTAATTGGCTTGCAAATTTAATTTTTAGCATTTGTGTCTTTTGCATGCTAAATTCTTTTATCTAATTATAATATAAAAATTTACATGTAAATAAAAATTTTATAAGAGACATAATATTTTTATTTGAACAGTTCAATAAATTAGAATATTTTTAAATACAGTTCTCTTTTTGAATATTATTAATGTAAATTTACTCCAATGCTGGCCCTCTTCATAGGGGCAAAAATGTAATATTGCTATTATACCAAATCCTCTATAAATAGGGGAAACGTCTCATGAAGAGACATGCTAGTTTTTACCATTCTTCTCTCTCTTCCCTCCTTAATTATGCTATATTACCGGGGTGTTATTGACAAATAATCTCAGATTCAACATCTTAAAATGAGCGGTGAGCATAAGTCATGCCACTAACAAGAAGATAAGCAACACAAGAACAATGACCTCACAACAGCGAGACTAACGGAGTGCACATCTTAAAATGAGCGGTGAGCATAAGTCATGCCACCAACAAGAAGATAAGTAACACAAGAACAATGACCTCACAACAGCGAGACTAGCGACATTACGGAGTGCGCTTGGGAGTTTGTAGCTCGACAGACCCAAAAGATCAGATGTTGGGAATGAACAAAGGCCTTCTGACTCAACAACCTCAGCAAGACCCTGCAACACCAATCTCCATAAGAGTACCTTCAAAATGTTGAGTTAGCTCTAATTGATTGACATTGGTTCGGGCACACTAAAGTGCCATGCCAGCTAAAAAACACATTCACCCGATAGATTTCTGTGGTTGAACCCCTGGAGTAGTTCAAGATCCTGGCGCTAGAGTTCTAAAAGGGTTCGTTGGACTTAACTGATCACGTCACTTTCTTTAATTCTACCGCGCGCCTTCTTAGAATCAATGACGCGCTGAAGTGTTGTCTTTTTTTCACCACATTGAGGGACTCAACACTGAGGTGGTTCAATAGATTGCTCCCATGAGCGATTACATCATTTGTGGATTTTAAGTGAATATTCATTGCATAGTTTGCTAGAGAGCAAAAACCCCCATAGCGCTCACATGCTCTTATAGCTTTGTTAGGGACAGAGCAAAACTATGCATGCCTTCGTCACCCATTTTCAAAAGAAAATGTAGGAGGTTCAAAACTTAGAGCCTACAATTACCCGCGCTGACCTTACACATGAATTGAAGGAAGGACCTATTTGTTATGCACTGGGATTACATCGACTGAAAACTCTAGTTAAGTTATTGGAGCTAGCAAACAACACATATATAGCAGAGTACAACACCCCCATGAGTGATCACATCGTCCGTGAATTTCAAGTGAATATTCATTGCATAGTTCACTAGAGCGCAAAAACCCCCATAGAACTCACATGCTTTCCTACAGCTTCATCAAGGATGGAGCAAAACAAAACATGCTTTCATCACCCATTTCCAGAACAAAATGTCTAAGGTTCAGAACTTAGAGCCTACAATCACCCACGCTGACCTTACACACGAACTGAAGGAAGGACCTATTTGTTACGCACTGTGATTGCATCAACTGAAGACTCTAGTCAAGTTATTGAAGTTAGCCAACAACCAAATATAAGCAGAAGAGTACAATACCCCCCATGATTGATCGCATCATTAATGGATTTCAAGCGAATATTCATTACATAGTTTGCTAGAGCACAAAAACCCACATAGAGCTCATATGCTCTTCTATAGCTTTGTCAGGGAAGGAGCGAAACCATGCATGCCTTTGTGACCCATTTCTAAAAGGAAATGTCAGAGGTACAGGACTTAGAGCCAACAATCACCCACGCTGGCCTTACACACGAATTGAATGAAGGACCTATTTTTTACGCACTGGGATTGTATCGACTGAAGACTCTAGTCAAGTTATTGAAGCTTGACAACAACCCAACCTCATATAGGCAGAAGATTACATCCCCCACCCCCCGCTTCATTTAGAACTAAACAAACCAATCTCCAAGCACTGAAGAGAACCGACAACGAAAAAGGGTAGAAACCGAGAGACAATCCTCACCCTCTTACCAAATTTCGATTTGAAGATTGTTGTCAACATGTACCCAAACGATCGAGCGATGGAAGAAACTCATTATAAAGGAAGTTAATCACGGAAGAGAAGTAATAGAGCGATGAACTAAAATATTTACATTAAAAATGCACATGCATTGATCTTAAAGAGATATAATGACCCGGTTGAGAAAAATATTATTGAGGCAGATCCACTGTAAGGAGGTCGCGAGGCCCACATGATCGGGTGAGTCAAGTGAACTAGGCCAAAAGTGATCAAGCCAAAATGTGAACTAGAAGCCAACCAAGTGATCCAAACGCAAGCCATTCGACCAAAAGAGCATCCTAGCCATCCATTGTAGGGAAGCAAACCCAACACAATAACCCGTCTTGCAGTGGAGCAAACCCAATGGAATAATTCAATTCCATAAAGTATTTCCGATTGTCTAATGAAGACCCAAAAACTTCTTACTAAAGATCAAAGAAAAGCTAATCAGGCTACCTTAGCCGACCGAGCTGACTCATTCTAGTGTCGAAAAAGTTTAGCCAATCAACTTGACAGACGACTGAATGACAATTTATTTCTAATGAAAAAAACCAAAATATCCCAATACATTTCCTCTCCAATTGAGGGTAACAATGTAATATTATCATTGTACCAAGCCATCTATAAATACGAAAACATCTAATGAAGAGACACATCTTAATTATACTTTATTCAAATTCACGACAATCTCAAATTCAACAAAACCACCCAAATCTCTCATATCACATCAAACATACCACTATTATAATTACTAAAAGATAAAAGATATCTTTCCATGCATAAATAAAAGGACATGCATGCAAAAACATTCAAGTGTTAGATATCTAAATACATAGGAGTTGAGTTATATGCATATAAATCTTCTTAAAATCTTTCCCATCAACATACCACTATTATAATTACTAAAAGATAAAAGACATCTTTCCATGCATAAATAAAGGGACATGCATGCAAAAACTTTCAAGTGTTAGATATCTAAATACGTAGGAGTTGAGTTATATGCATATAAATCTTCTAACATAAAACACATCATAATTTGAAAATTTAAAAGTGCATTGTTTCTTTTCATGTTCATATAAAATATAATGTATATAAAAATTGAACTTTAAATACATAATAATTGAACGGTTTGCAAGCAAAAATTTCAGGCACTGAAATAAATTTTTCACATCATCACCTAAGCTGTTGTCAGAGCTGTCAAATCCAGCACCATTTCTTCCGTGATTCCCCACGCGGGTTGGCCTCGTCCAGTAACAATTTCTACTTTTTACCGTCGGCCGCCGGCGTCATTAGCCGGTGAGTTGTAAATTCTACCCCAATCTAACTCCTCGTCGTGGTGTAAAAAGCTTCCTCCCGGCTTTTTCGGAAGAGGGAAACGGGTGAGAAGAGGTAGAAAGCGATAAATAGGGGGCGGATCGAGTGTGAACGATGGCTTCCGGTCAAACCTCATGGCTCCGACCCTCAATTCCCTGCTCACCCCTAAACTTAAGCCTAATCCTCTGTCGACCCCTATTCCCCGCCATGTGTCCAATTCCATACCTAATTAGCGTTTCCGCTAGGGTTCTTCTTTTTTCCTCTGCTGTGATTTACTCTGCTCTTTGTTTAGAATCCGGTTGAGGTGAGGAGACAGGGGAAGAGGAGAGGATGGAGGGGACAACGAGCGGAAGCGACGTGGAGTTGATGTGTAAGACGCTGCAGTTCGAGCACAAGCTCTTCTATTTTGATCTGAAGGAGAATCCGCGCGGCCGCTATCTTAAGATCTCTGAGAAGACCTCTGCGACGAGATCCACAATCATCGTTCCCGTCAACGGCATCGTCTGGTTTCTTGATCTATTTAACTATTATGTCAATACGGACGAGCGCGATGCCTTCAGCAAGGAGCTTAAGCTTGACGCAAAAGTGAGCGTTCCCAGTTAATTCCGTCTGCGGGCACAGGATTATCTGATTTTGTTTTGTGATTTCCCTGTGTTTAGGTGTTTTACTTCGACGTTGGTGAAAATAAGAGGGGCCGTTTTTTGAAGGTACCAGGTTTTTTCATTCTATCTTATTCATTTTTTTTTGTTTTTTGGGTCAAATTTCCATTTTTTTTTTGTTGGATTTATATTATTGATTCTTATTTGTTTTTTTTTTTGTTTAAATTTTTCAGTACTTTGGGGAATTGATCAGATGTTCATGCTTTGGCATTTGTTTTAAAAGGCTTATAGGAATGGCTTTGTCTTTTAGCTCTGAATTTGACCCTTAAACTTCTTTAATGGTTAGTTGATGAAGGTGGATAGGATGGCGTTTGAAAATTTATATATCACTTGAACAATAATAAGAAGAGGCCTTTTGTTGTTTATTTTGTAGTGTACCCAATTGACTTCGATGGTGCGAGTTATTGTCTTTTCTTTTTCTTTTTTGTTATTTTGGTTGCTGAAATTGTCTCAAGGAGAAAAGGATCATTTCGATACAAATGTTGATTTATATCCTTGGTTATAAAGTTTACTCGCTTGTTTCAGTGGGAAAAGATTATCATTGTTTTATTCAACAGATTAATGTTTATGTTAATGATAAGGAGGCTCTCACTCAATCGCTAAAAAATTGCTGCTTTGAGCATATTTATTCCGAAAATGGTCTTTCACACTATGGGCTCCGAAAATTCACGATCGCTCCTCATAAAAACTCCCTGCATTTGTTTTATTTTTTGTTTTGAGAGAGCTTTGGAGGGTCAAATTTTTAGAAGAAATATTGGATTGTAGATAAGACACTAGCTAGATATTTCGCCCTTATTTTGCGAGATCTTTTTTGATCTGGGGTTTCAGGTTTCCCGTAGGCGCAAGCCTTTATATTTAATTATCTTTCTCAATAGCGAGAGCACTTTTGATTAAAGCTAATCATTAAGAATTGAATTTTCAGCGTACAATAGCAGTAAACTTAGAATTTACATTGTAGAATTCACCACTTGAAGCTTAAAATGGATGTGAGGGATGAAGACAAAACCTGATCATGATCCTATGGTTCCGTCATCTTGGGCCATCATAATTCCTAATCTATTTAGTCAAAGGAGGTAGTCGACTCATCTTAATAGAAAAGTTCTTGTCAGTAGCCATTGGCTATGTTGTTTAAGAGATTCTTGTAGATCTGGGATGGATGTTTGTCAAATGGGATAAATTTAAGTCGACTTTAGCTAATAGAATAGTTTGTGTCAATCAATTGTATCCTTATGATTTACAACTCAAAATATAGAAAGCTATTGGGGAACATATGGGCTGCGGCTGTGACCGTATTATAATAGTGTCATTCAGTGAAACCCACTGGGGCAGAGGACTCTGGTTGTAATCGCTACTTTGTGGTGTTATTTTACAGCAAAACCATCCGTACAAAAGAGTCGTGTCATATCCTTACTGCATGTACTTATTTTGATTGTGAATATATTTATACGTTTGATATGACATTCACTCTTTGTAAGCAGAAGTCAATCAGAAGTTTATCATCTTCGAAAAAATATTGCGGAGGGTGAATGAAATTTTGCTTTTAGCTTTTAGTGATTGATTTTTGTGTACATGCTAGTTGGTTATTATGAAAAACTTAATTTTAAAAGATTGACTCCTCCGGTTGAAATCTTCGATCAACAAGACTATCATCGGGGACTTGAGCATTTTAAAATTTTTATATTTGAAGAGGGGATATTTAATTTTGTCAGTTTAGACTTTTAAGGTGTAAATTCTGTCGACTCCTATCCTTACAAGGAGTAGGGTCAGACTAGTTTGGTGATTTGAACTTATAAATTCTTATTTTAGGATTTAAACATTTATTAAATTTACTAAACTCGTCAATTTTAGTTCTTACGAGAAGGAGGATTAGACTAGTGGGGTGAAACTTTTAACCCTGTCCTATAAACGAGACAAAGTGATTAGCCCGCGCAACATTCTCAAACCTTATATTTGAACATTCTATACTTTGGTTGGAGCAAATACGGGCATTTATATTTCATATATTTGAATAACTTAAAGAGTTTGGAAACTTTGTAGGCTTGTGCAACCTTTAAACTATAATTATGATTTACAATTTAGATTAAGAGATTTTTGAAATCATGTATTTGATTTTAATCTACATGAATCTCTTAAGGCATACACAATTTAAGAGAGTTCAAACTAAGTTTCAAAATATTTTCATATATTCCAAATCATTGAATTGGACTTAAGAGTAATATGAAGCTTATATAGGCTTTAAAGATTTAACCATTTTGAAACTATAAGCTTTTATTTGAAAATTATCACATGCAATGTTATATTTCCTGGCTTTAAGAGAGACGGCATTCGGTTTGCTAGCAGACATGTTACGAATCCGACGACGGTTAATTTTAAATTTTGGGAAATATACATATTGGAATTATCATCCACCCTCAATTATGATATTTCATAGTTAAGCCAAGTTCAAACCCAAATTTATAGAATTTGACATTCGATTTTAATTTAGGTTTAGCCCCTTAAGGTTAGCCTCAAATAAGGTTTAGCTCCCCAATTCTTTCACGTTTTAGTCATATGAAAATTTAAAGAGTTTAAACTTTCAAAATCATTTGCAAGTCTTCACAATCCAATTTCAAATATTATTATTTTTATTCTTGTTTAAAAACTTAAATAATTTATTTTTTAGCCATTTTTAAAACTTTACAAAGTCAAAATCTTAAATTATTTTGCAAGTCCAGGATCACCAGAAATTTCGGCAGCCTCCCGGCGTCATCCTCAGTTAGGGGGCTGCATTGGGGAGCCTACTTGCCCAACTACCTATAAGACACGCTGGTCGGTGTCCTGAGACACTGTGACCAGAAAAGATCTTCTAATCCATCGGTCTATAAGATGCATGTGGGTCTTCACTTTTTCTGCATTTTCGTCCAGAAAAGATCTTCTAATCCACCGGTCTATAAGACACATGTGGTTCTTAACTTTTTCAGCCTTAATGACATCAAGACTCAGCTTAGTGAGATCAATAGCTTGCAATTCAACCCGGATACCATCCAATTCTTTCTTAAACCTATCCTTTGAACTTGCATAAATCATCTTGCTCCTCACTATAGATGTGTCGGGCGACCATGCTATATAGAAGATTTTACTATTCTGTCAGTTCTTTTCAGTCACAAAGTCAAAGTCATGGATTGCATATCTTCATTCATGAGCAGAAAGGCTAGCAATGAAATCCTCGTAGGTTAGAGCAGGCTCACTCACTTTCTCAACAATGACTTGCTTCAGCTTCTCCTTAATCTTATAAATTATGAATCGGCGGATTCTCTTTGCCTTCAATTCAAGGAATTTAAGCTTACATCGTCATGCATAGCCATTCCTGATGCCACATGGGCCATTTTGCGGATCAATAGCCGAATGGGGGCAGAGATAGATCGGGGGATAGAATTTAGGGCTCCGTGGTTCCATCAGTGAGAGGAAGAAACTCGCGCCTCTTGCATTAATAAGAGAAGCTTTGGAAGCATAGCGGCGATTATAAATACTCGAAGGGGAGACATGCCTTTCCCCCCATGTCACATTCCTTTTGTCCTCCGAATCAGCCTTATCTCCTGCAAGCGTAGCTACCATGCTTTTGGATTTTCTTGTTTCTGTAGCTCTTGCACCCACTTCTTTGCTTTTTCAAATGAATCCTTGCTTGTGATATAGTAGACGATGATGGCCATCGCGGCTCTTCCGGTGTGTACATGAGTGTGAGAATGTGATACCTTTCCTGCCCTGCGGTTTCCCAAATCTCAAACTTCATCGTAGAGTCATTAAAAGCAATGTCTGTGAAAAGAATGCCTCTCCGATCATTGGTTCTTGGAATTCGAAAAATTGCCTTCTGACGAAACGCAGCTCGAGGCTGGATTTTCTGGCTCCCATGTCTCCAAGTAAGACAAGCTTGGTGTTGATGTTGTTGTTGTCGGTGATGGCCATGGTCAGGAGGAAAGAAACAAAAAGAGCTACCAATTTTCCACTGGTGTGAGACGAAGTGGCCGGAGGAAGATAGGGACAAGCGGCACTTTGCAAGCGATTCAAGCCGTTGGAGAGGAGAAATCAAGTGGACCGGTTTTGCGTTCGGGTTTTACGAACATGTGAGGGATCCGACTCTTGTTTGCGGGCTAGGGAAGAGAGGGTGTCGATCACGACAGAGAGGATCCCACATTTAGGGTAAGCAAGGAGAGAAGGGCACGACTATGATTCGTGCAGAACTAAGAGGGGGTTGCGGCTTCGTGCCAGCTCGACTTTTTGCGTAGGAAATTGTTCAAATCTGGTTTACTGCAGGGATGCCGTTCTTCAAAAGGGGGCTTCCTCTTGTGCGATTTGGCGCATCAAGAGGTGAAATGTAGGAGAGAAGAAGCAGAGCCTCTTATTGGTTTTTGAGAACCGCCCCGTCCCCCCCCAATTCCTTTGTGCTTTTAATTTATTTTTTTATTTTGAGACGGGAATTGGTGTGATTTTGCGGGAACAGTTACACTAGGCTTGAAATTTAACTTAATATTAATTAAGTTAATTAAATATGATTAAATTATTTACAATTTTAATTCTAATTTTTTTGACGTAAACTCACATGATCAACTAAAAATATGATTTTAGATGTTGGCACTTCACTCTAATGGCTTAGATAGTGCTTGAGCAACATTGTTCAAATTAAATTAGATCGAGACATCCTCTTTATGATACCCCATTAATAAACTAAATAATGAATTACACCTAAAATATATAATATAAAGCCTTCACTTTATAACTTTTTTCCTTTTCTTTTCCTTTGATTTTCTTTTTCTTTTTTCTCCAAGAGTTGCTATATCTGGTTAACAACTTTTTCTAAATCATTTTTCATAATGAAGGTGAGTGTTTTCTTAAACAAGAAATTTTGAAAATGATAGTTTAATTTCCTCCCTTTCGGTAGTATTCTAAAGAGCAAAAACTTAAGTTAATACACAATTGGTTACTATGAAAAAGAAGAAAGTTTAAGAACATGTTTTATCTCGGTCCAGAGGTGATGTGTATTCTCTTTTATCCATCTCCCACTCTCTCCTACA